AGTGGTTGTCCCTTCAGGCTCGTTGCGAGGTATACTTCTAGAAACTCCAGCGCGCATGCTTCCAGCGTCACGTGACTTTCGCTGTCGTAACAAGATGTTTTCAGCTTCAGATCATCCTCCTAACTGTCAACTCCAACGTTTCTTAGGTTTCAAGAAACTTCGCATTTATTCAGCGTGACATTCACTAGTCATTCTCATTACTCATAGGTAGGACTGCAATCTTTATATATATATACCACCTGTACAACCATAGAAGGATATTGGTGTTGAAATCACGAGGTCGTTTTAAGCAACGTTCTCCACAGGCAGTAACATATTTAGAAGGATTTGGTTTGGTTTTGAATTTTGCACAAAGCTACATGAGGGCTGTCTGTGTTAGCCATCCCTAATTTAGCAGATAGAAGGCAGCTGGTCAACATCACCCACCATCCACTCTTGAGCTACTCTTTTACCAACAAATAGTAGGATTGACCATTATATTATAATGCCCCACTTTTGAAAGAGCGAGCATGTTCGGTGATGGGGATTCGAACCCCCGACTCTCAGATTGCGAGTAGAGCACCATAACCACCAGGCTATATCAGGTCTATTCAGGAGGAAAAAATTAATTCGAAATAAATATTATTGTTTTAACGAGTTCTATTGTTGGGCAGATTCTTTTTTGGATTATTTGGTAAAAATAATGTGAAGTCCTATTTACATAATTATATCGAATTTATATATTTCTTCATTAATGTTTGCTACAAGCTAACGTTTACTTTGACGCAAGTTGTAAGCCCAAGTTCGCAAACTTTCCAACAAAGGCTCTGAAACTACTGTAGGGCTGATACACTAATAATGTTTAACAGAAATTTCCTTGTTTGATAACGAATGCTGATTAACTTACTGATTAGCTTACAGAAGCACTAACTTATATTTGATAGTATTACTTGAGCAATCTTCTCTTGATCATTCACACTCTGGATGCTTCACTAACTTCTAAATCACTTAACTGTAACTGCGTATTTACAACTAATGTACCCATGTCTAGATATTAGTCAGTTACTAGATTCTTGATCTCATTGTGAACTTTCAAGGTATTCTAGGACTACTTTTATGAGCTTCTTCTTTTTAGTATCATGTGCCCCCTAGCAAACATATAGATTAACTCAGTGAAAATATAGCGTATGATATTATAGTGCTACAAAAAGATAGAAACCCGTGATCTACTTATATTCCACAATAGTCTGATCTGCCCGTGTATCATAATTGGACACATTAACTAGAAGAACCTATGGGAAGTTAGATTGGGTGTTTGTAGTTAAGCACAAAGTTACATAAATGGCTGTCTGTGCTCTGCCCACCACAAGTATCGAAACCCGGTTTCTTGTGTTGTAAGTCAGCAGAGATACTGCTGTACCACTGGTGGGCCTATGGGAAGTAGAAATAGTCATTCGTGGCTGTTAGTAACAGAGGCGATATTGCATATGTAGATTTTGTCTAACGAAAATGATAAACAACTAAAACTAAAATAAAACCAAAACATGTAAAATTTATATAGCAGAAGTCACCCAACGTCAGAAAAAAAAAAAGAGAGAGATTCATGGTTTGAAGAAAAATAATCGCCTCGAAATTAAACAGTGGTTTGATTAGCAAGTGATAGAGTTTTTAAGTATGTTAAGAAAGTTTATAGGCTAAAAGGTGGAAGATATTATCGGAACAGAGTATTTAAGAAAGGTTATTTTCAGTAAAGAGAAACATGACTCGCAGTTATAATATTTCCTTGTGGTATCCAGTTTTTAAAACAGTAGACGTAAAAATAATAAATTGGGATTAAATCTAAGTAAAATATTTATTTCCAAAAGGTGATTCCAATACCTTTTTCTAACAACTGCCCCCCCCCCCAGTGGCACAGCGGTATGTCTGAGGACTTAGAACGCTAAAAACCGGGTTTCGATACCCGTGGTGCGCAGAGCACAGATAGCCCATTGTGTAGCTTTGTGCTTAATTCCAAACAAACAAACCTAACAACTGAGAAAATAAAGAATACCTCCCAAGTCCATAAACTGTTTCACTTTCTTGATTGTTGCCCATTCCTAATTATTTTATCTTTGAAAAAGAAATGCTGTATGAATCTAAATAGCTTAAAGGCAATATAATATATACAAAATTTCATTGATGAATATATTATTCAGATAATTAATTGCGTTGTCAATATTAATTAGAAATTATTTGCAACATTCTTTGACAATGAGTCATTTATAAAGCTATATCCGGGCATGTAGTGGAATCACGTGATTTTCCAAATGTCTTTCAGGAAAATGGCGACGAACAATTATTACAGCTTTACCGCCGGTGGTGTTCAGTATGGGTAAGGATGTTATATTAATTACGTTGTCCAAAAAAACGCGTAATGTTTACATGAATAAAGAAACGACTTTGAGATTAATTTAATTCTTTCTTTTAGGAAATATGTAAAAAGTGTAAATGAAGTACTTAACTACCGGCATTTTTTAGTTGGTATACGTAATAAATATATTAATTGTAATACTAATAGTACTATGTCTCGTAGTCGTACTTTTGAACGGTACCAATATAACTTAAAGTTAAAAGGCTATAGTCTATAACTTAGTAATATTTATAGCTTCGGTATATTTACTGCAATTCTGGTTATTATTACTTAAAAATATTAGCACTCGCCTCTTTATACTTTGCTTATTTAATGTTCAGAAGAGTGAAAAATAAAACTACCTTTTCAAAAGTTTTCGATGGTGTACAGAAAATGAGAAACTATATAGATATAAACACGACTTTGTGATGCTTTAGCTAACGCGAAAAACTTGAAAAAGTAGGCCTAACGCTTTGTTAGTACAGACTACTGTGTCATTGTTGCTGTTAGTGTTTGTATGGCTACCACAGTCAGTTAGCGTTACTTGAAATTGTATGAACATTGATACTATTCTTACATTTTGTATTGCTACTTCTTGTACTAGCATTGTATTTCTGCTTTCAGTTTTAGATATTATGCTATAAATATCTGAAAGTTTGGCGTTACAAGGAATTAATGGCAGAATATCTGTAAGATTAAAATTCAAATACCTACATATACTACTGTTAATAACTAATATTCTTCAAGTTTACTGTTTTATTCAGCTCATTTGATTTACATTAGTTAAGCATATTAACTTAGATATTATTGAACTTATTTGATTCTTTTAGAATATTTAATCTTATGGTAAAGGCATCAACTTTATAAAATATTGTTCTCAGAGATGTCAAGGTTCATATAGTGTGAAATGTATATATAGCGTTTATAATTAGAACTTTGCGGAGAATCTTAGTATGCCATGGAGCATGCATTAGTGCTGTTGCGAATACATAAATCTCCCATAATCAAAATGCTAAATTATTGTACACCAAGCAACAGATGAAAAAGTCTACAGTATTCTCACTCTTTGTTTCAAGGCATTTGTTCTTCTACTTGTTGTAAATTGACTATAAAAAGAACATCACAAACTAAACATTCCTCTGCTATTTGTCAGTGAACAATGAGTGAATGTTGACACCAAAAACAGAGCGATGGTTGGTGAGTGCTTAATAAGTCAGAGTCAGTAACATTACATCAAACAGTAGCTTGTCTTCATGCTCTTCATTGTTAAGATATGTTTTCTTGCATCCAGAAACTTGTGTTTCAAAACACAAACAAAACTTTAAAACCATTAATAGATACTTTTTATTCATTTAATTTGAAATAACAAAGCCATGTAATAAACTTTGTGGTCCTTATTTGATAATTCATAAGCTAATATATATGCACACACACACGTCTGCACAATTCCAACTGACAGCAAGTAAAAAAATGAATTGGAACTCTAAACAGACAGTATGCTGGCTTGGTAACAGTCTGCTTGATATCATAGCATAGGGCATGGCTAGATCCAAAGAACTTGTAGTACTATGATTTTCAGACTTGTTATTCTAGACAGTTTAGTATTGTTTTACATGCTTATAATCTTTTTTTATGATAGGGGTGTTAATAGCTTAGTTTGACATTTAAATGTCAGCCAAGTGTCAAGTATGTTGAATTTTTATTAATCTTTAAATGTTAAAAATGTGCAAGTCATATATTAAACTAAGGACTGCTCAGAGGGTCTTTCAATATTTACTTCATAGTGACATAGTGAGATTTCTATTTCACCTTAACCTTACCTTTGTAAAAGCATGTTGTTCTGTGACTTAGTTCCAAACAAATTACCTATATTGATATAATTATTAATATTACCAACAAATTATACATTTAACAATTAGATATTACTTTTAAATTCAATGTAAGACTGACAGACAATAGAATACATAAAATTATGGTTACAAATATTACATATATATATAT